GGTCGTCCCATGTCATTAGAAAGAGAGAGATAGAGAGAGAGAGAGAGAGAGAGAGAGAGAGAGAGAGAGAGAGAGAGAGAGAGAGAGAGAGAGAGAGAGAGAGAGAAAGAGAGAGACTATATGTGTCTGTATGTATGTGTGTGTGTGTGTGTGTGAGAGAGAGAGAGATAGATAGAGAGAGAGAGAGAGAGAGAGAGAGAGAGAGAGAGAGAGAGAGAGAGAGAGAGAGAGAGAGAGAGAGATCATTCATGCCAATGGATTTCGGTATCAACCCTAAATATCTTGTCGCACGGCGTTTAAGGTTGATGTCAGAATATTATGCTCTAGCCTGTAGTGGGGTGCTCCATAGCGAGTACAACCCTTCTAGGGTTTGCTATTTGTATCCCCATTCTCGCTAGTTCAACGCTCTTCTTTCTTCTAAACTTTCACATGCTATCAGAGCAGGTCGATCCCCTTGGATCGATCCTGTGGGTGGGCTTACCACCTCGTTGCTTCCGCTGCAACTGCTACTACTACTCTCTGTGCCGCACGCCTCGTGGCGTGCGGCAGATTTTCTTCCCGCTGTGCGCCCCGAGGCGCGCGGCGGTTTTCTGCCCGCCGTGCGCCCCGAGGCGCGCGGCGGTTCTCTGCCCGCTGTGCGCCCCAAGGCGCGCGGCGGGCTTCTGCCCCGTCCCTCGGCGCGTCGCCCTCGGGAGGCGTTGCGACGGGCGACGGGGACCCGCGCGTCGCCCCCCGTCGCCCGTCGTGGCCTGCGCGCCGCCCGTACAGGCAGCGCGCGGCCCGTACGGGCTGCGCCAGGACCAGCCTCGCCCCGGCCATGCTGCGTCGCCCGTCGCGGCGCACCGAGGGCACGTGCACCGCCCCCCCCCCCCCCCCCCCCCCCCCCCCCTTTTCCCGTCGCCCGTCGCGGCTCCCTCGGGGGCCGCGACTACCTGGGGGAGGGGGGCGAGCGCCGCCCCTTCTGCCGCCTGTTTTGGCGCCCTGGGAGGCCGCGCGTCGGTCCCCCCCCCCCCCCCCCCCCCCCTCCCCCGTAACCTCCCTACCTGCCATCCCGCCCTGCCAGTGTTAGGGTTTGGGGGGTGGCGAGTAGGGGGTGGCGAGTATGGGGGTGGCAGTTGTGCATTCCTCCCTTTGCTCCTCCTCCTCCTTCGTCTCCCACTGCTGCAGCTGTCGCTGAGGGGGGTGGATGAGTGGGAGACTGGGGTTTAGGGTTTAAGGGGGGTGCGTGGGAGTGGAGCTAGGGTTTGAGCAGTGGGCGTGTGCTGAGAGTGTGGGACAGTTGGGGGAGGTTGAGTGGAGGCAGCAGTCTTATCGTCAGCAGCAGCAGCAGTCCGGAGGCTACAATCTCCGGTAGTCGCCAGTCGCTCGTGGGTCCGTTGCTCGTCTGCCGCCACTATTAGCCGCGGGGCCAGTTACTCCAGTAGTCCCAAGCGCTGTTCCGGTAGCCACTGAGCCAGCAGCTCGTCTGTTTGTATGCGGCGTCAGCAGTCGCCTCCCATCTTCTCTCCCCCACAGCTCCTCCTCCTCCTCACTTGTCCGCTGTGATTAGCTCTAGCTTTGCTCATTCTTGTGAACTTTTAAACTCTTGATTCTTGTACTTGTGCTCAGAATGTGTGGTGACATTGTGATCCACCTTGAGCTTGTACTGCTTTGCTTGCTCTGCTGATTACACCCCACTTTGGCTATAGGGGTGTGTCAGAATATTATGCTCTAGCTTGTAGTGGGGTGCTCCATAGCGAGTACAACCCTTCTAGGGTTTGCTATTTGTATCCCCATTCTTGCTAGTTCAATGCTCTTCTTTCTTCTAAACTTTCACAGTTGATGCCTCTCTTGGATCGCAAATCATCAAAGCGGGTTTAGTTTTAGTTTTAGTTTTTTCCTACTTATGATATTTAAACAGCATGAACACTTTATAATTGAGGAAAAAATCCCATAAAACAAAACAAAACAAAATTGCAAAAATAGGACAAAACAAATTCGGAATTAAAAATCCTATAAATCACTACACAAAAAAATATCTTGTGACGAGACGTGTTAATTTTGTGGGGCATTGTGACACCAAGGGTGATTTTCCTATGACTATCCGTGATAGAATCCTAAATTCTGTGACCATCCGTGATAAAGATTTAGATTCTGTGACCGTTCGTGGTAGCCGTGTGACCATTTTTGATAGCGCGTCCTTTGTAGTGACCATTCGTATAATAACCTCATAAAATTGCATGGGGTGGGACGGGCCAGTAAGTGGCGCTGGTGGATCCTCATTATCCACGCGACGCGACATTCACTTGCTTGCTCAGTGCTCTCATTCCTTCACAGCCACACACACACACATCCACCATCATGTGGTTATACTGTAGCTCGCTCGGGCTTGGTTCAAGCACACGGACAGTGCTGCAAGAACACGTCATCGTGAGTGAGGGAGTGACCGTGCCGTGCCGTGAGTACAGTTGTGGTACACCAAGTCCTCGCCAACTTCACTATGTCCAATTTAACCCCCCTGTGTATTCGTTTTAAATTTACCCGAGCTTGAGGGTTGTTTCAAACACTTTGGTTTTAAGGAAAACAACGAATGGGACTACGCACATGAGTTAGTGGAAATACAAAAGAAACATCGTCGCAGTGGAAGATTCAGTCCTTGCGTTGCGGTCTCAACGTCAGAAGGGGCAAACATCGAAACGTCACAATGCCTCGGATAGCCTCTAGTTCGGGGGTGTCTTACCTTCTATAGCCAAATATGGTCAGTCTGGTTTTAAGAACTGACGGGGCGTGAAATTGGCGAGGACTGTGTGTAGTGCAGTGTGGTTGTTTGTGTGAGTCGTCGTCGTGAAGTGACAACATGCCTTCATGCCTGGACGGACCTGTCAGTTGAGCTCTCTCATCAGAGTTGCTTCGTTTCGTTTCCTCCACTAGGAATGGGATGGGAGTACGTGAATGTAGCACAAACAAGTTGGAGTGCAGTCGCGGGGTTGGTTGGACGTTGAGAGACTGCGCGAAAACAAACTTCCAAGTGAGGCGATTCCGCCGGACTGTCGCAGCGCAGACTACTGTAGTAGTACAACGCCCGGATTCAAGCGAGTACCACTTGATGCATTCCGGGTCCCAGCCGCCGCACGCCGAGGGCGACGGCCTCGTACTACGACTGTACTAATCGAGGTCGCCGCACTCCCTCGCGCAGTGCGCGACCAACGGCGGCGGCGTGTGCACCGTTGCCAATCGGCTCGTCGACCCGTCACGTTTGACCGTGAGCGTGAGCGACCGACGTCCGGACTGCGTCTCTCTCTCCCCCTCACTCTCTCCACCCTCTCGCTCACCAATCTCTCCCTCCATGACGTCACCATTCAATCTTCGCCGCACCCGCGCTACTACTACTATCACTCTCCCGGCTAGTAGCACAAGCGGCGCTGCACACGTGCTCGACAGCAGCATCCCCAGAAGAAGTAGTTCTTCTACGAGTAGCGCTACTACCAGCCTCACTGGCAGCAGTAGTGCACGGCGCGCCGCCGCCAGCTCTCACTCCCCTGCGAGCCTGACGGGCCGCCGCCGCAGCAGCAGCAGCAGCAGCGGCGGCAGCAGCAGCGCCGGTTTCTCGTCTCCGCGCGTGCTGGCGGCCGCAGCGCGCCTGCTCCTCATCAGAAAAATGTGAAACTGCCGAGTATGTTGGGGGGGGGGGGGGAGGGGGTCATTTTCCATGTTGGAGGCTGATGGTTTTCGATGATTGATGACGTGAAATCTGGTGTACCGCTTTTCCCGGCAGTTAACCATCGTGTGCGCTGGTTTTCTTCCTGCTGATTGTCGACTTCCCTTCTTGACCTTTACGACCACCCCGATGAATCGGGGTATATTTCTGTTTACCTTCTTTCGCAGATGCGCACAGAACACGTGGACGACATTTCTGTCGAGCGTTGTCATTGGTCGGCGTTTTCGGAAAGATATGGGGATAGATCGGGAGATGTGTGGGGCTTGTTGCAAACCAGCACTTCACACGCAGATTCTCCGTTGCGAATGAATGTCCGTGGGTTCTTGCCACGGCGTCGAAGTTAAGGTAACTGAATATGTAACCTTTTTGCCTAAATGCCAGTTTGTTTTGAACAATAGAAGAGTTCTGCTTGTTCAATGTTCTTGGTGCCCATTCTATTTTATATAAAAATTTTAATTTTAAAAATACGACTAGCATAGTTAACGTTAACATATTTTATCGGCTAGGTTCGTATTATAGCATGACGTTTAGTACAATGAGGGTGTAGTTATTAGTTCGTTTTAGGCACTGTGTATGGTTAATGTTTATCTGGTTGTCAAAGAATCCAGATTTGGTTTTGGGTTAACTTGTAGGTTTTCCTACTGTTATTGTGTATATCATATTAATGTACTTATAGCTATGACGAAGCAACTTCTGGATATGCAGAATTTGTGCGCGTTCTTGCTACAATAATTCTCTGCCAAAAAGCGCCGCATCTCACGGTTCATCAAAGCGCCACCCGAACGCGCTTCGGGTCCACAATTATTGGTGCCTCTGGTACGAATGCTGTTCGAACGCTGTGCATCCTTTGATTCTACTCGATACCTTACTTCACCGTTTTGAACCCCATAATTTCACAACTTCCTACGCAAGCTGAGAATTAGGGAAGCGCGACACCATCACTCTTCCCATCCATCCACCTCTGAAATTCACTTCAGAATTCACTCGACAACCTGGCAACTCTGCGTTCTAGAACGTGAATCTGCCTTGCCTTGGCGAGCTAACGCAACTATAGTAGCAAGCGCGTTACTGCCACGTTAAGCTGCGACGAATTCTGCAGCAGCTCTAGCAACGGCAGGATTCAGGGTACGGCAAGCTACACTGACATCCCGCGCGATTGGTGGCGACACGGTGCGCACGCGACGATCAGGCGGGGGGAACGCCAAAATAGCGGAATTTCGGGCTTCACAAACAAGGTATGCCTTTGCTGCCGCGGAGCTATCTCCCGCCCTTTCACGTGCCCTAACAAAAAGGTATGCTTGCGATGCCGGCGCACTCTCGCGCTCTCACTTCCCTTCGTTGCGCTCTCTCTCCCACTCCGTTGCTCTCTCTCTCTCTCTCTCTCTCTCTCTCTCTCTCTCTCTCTCTCTCTCTCTCTCTCTCTCTCTCTCTCTCTCTCTCTCCCTCCTTTGCTCTCTCTATGTCGCCGCTTCCGTTGCTCTTTCCCAACCCCCCTCTGTTTTCTCTATCTCTCTCCCCTCTCTGCCGCTATCTCTCTCTCTCTCTTTCACCCTCCGTGTCCGTTGATCGTTTTATCGGTCCGCCTCCGTTGCTCACTCTCTCGCTCTCCCTGTCCGTTGCTCGTTTTCGATGGTCCGTCTCTGTTACTTTCTCTCTCAATCGCGTTTCCGGTTTTTTGCTCGTTATCGAGGTCGCTTCCGTTGCTTTCCCTCTCCCCTTCCGTCGCTTCTCCTCTTATCTATTTCTCCCCCGCCGTTGCTCTCTCCATGTATCCGCGTCCCTTGCTCTCTCTCTCTCTCTCTCTCTCTCTCTCTCTCTCTCTCTCTCTCTCTCTCTCTCTCTCTCTCTCTCTCTCTCTCTCTCTCTCTCTCGACGCCTCTATGTCGCTCAATCTCCCCCACCGTTGCTCTCTCTCTCCATCCGCCTCCGTCTCACTCTCTCTCTCTGGCACCCGTTGCTCTCTCTCTCTCCCTGTCCCCTTCCGTCTCTCTCTCTCTCTCTCTCGCTCGCTCTCCCGCACTCTCTCTCTCGCTCTGCCGCATTCCCTCTCTCGCTCTGCCGCACTCTCTCACTCGATCTGCCACAGTTTCTCTCTCGCTCTGCCGCACTCTCTCTCCCTATCGCTCTGCCGCATTCTCTCTCTCGCTCTGCCGCATTATCTATCTCTCGCTATGCCGCATTATCTCTCTATCGCGCCGCCGTTCTCTCTCCCTATCGCTATGCCACACTCTCTCTCTCGCTCTGCCGCGTTCTCGCTCTAGCGCTCTCCTGCACCCTCTCTCTCTCGCTCTGCCGCACTCTCTCTCTCACTCTGCCGCCCTCTCTCTCTCTCGCTCTGCCACACTCTCTCTCTCGCTCTGCCGCACACTCTCTCCCTATCGCTCTGTCGCACTCTCGCTCTATCGCTCTGCCGCGTTCTCGCTCTAGCGCTCTCCTGCACCCTCTCTCTCTCGCTCTGCCGCACTCTCTCTCTCGCTCTGCCGCACACTCTCTCCCTATCGCTCTGCCGCACTCTCGCTCTATCTCTCTGCCGCGTTCTCGCTCTAGCGCTCTCCTGCACCCTCTCTCTCTCGCTCTGCCGCACTCTCTCTCTCACTCTGCCGCCCTCTCTCTCTGGCTCTGCCTCACTCTCTCTCTCGCTCTGCCGCACACTCTCTCCCTATCGCTCTGCCGCACTCTCGCTCTATCGCATTGCCGCGTTCTCGCTCTAGCGCTCTCCTGCACCCTCTCTCTCTCGCTCTGTCGCACTCTCTCTCTCACTCTGCCACCCTCTCTCTCTCGCTCTGCCACACTCTCTCTCTCGCTCTGCCGCACACTCTCTCCCTATCGCTCTGCCGCACTCTCGCTCTTTCGCTCTGCCGCGTTCTCGCTCTAGCGCTCTCCTGCACCCTCTCTCTCTCGCTCTGCCGCACTCTCTCTCTCACTCTGCCGCCCTCTCTCTCTCGCTCTGCCACACTCTCTCTATCGCTCTGCCGCACACTCTCTCCCTATTGCTCTGCCGCACTCTCGCTCTATCGCTCTGCCGCGTTCTCGCTCTAGCGCTCTCCTGCACCCTCTCTCTCTCGCTCTGCCGCACTCTCTCTCTCACTCTGGTCGACTCCCAGGTGCCTCCCGTCGACCACTGGGTCCCTCTGGTCGACCACCGGGCGCTCCTGGTCGACCACACCTCCCGTCAAGCTACCCCTTGGTCGACGGACCCCTTCCGTCGACTAGAACTGCTCCGTCGACCTCCCGGTCGAACTGCAGTTCGACGGGATGCTCCGTTGTCCTCCCAGACGGCTCACCCGTCGCCCAGACCAGTCAGTTGCAGCTGTCGAGCATTCTGGTCGACAGCAACACCACAGCGGTCCGCTGCCGCTCGACGTAACCTGTCAAGCAGCTATCCCACTGTGAACAGTCGGCTGCTACTCCTGTGCATCCGACCAAGTCGTCGGCGTTGCCCAAGCGAGGGCGGGGCCAACACTCCGTTCCCGTTAACAGCACCCCCAAAGTCAGCACCCCCAGGCTCAGCACCCCCGCGCACAACACCCCCAGAGTCAGCACCCCCAGGCACAGCACCCGCAGCAGCACCAGAGTCACCAGTAACCTCGACCGGGTCAACGGCGTCTACCTGGGACACACCTGAGGGGGCAGGAACCTGAGGGGGGAGGGTGTCTACCGGGGGGGGAACCGGCACAAGGAAGTCCGGTGGAGGGGGGAGGGAAGGAGTGCGGTAGGGGAAGAGGCGGTAGAAGGGGACTGACTCATCGAACGTGACGTCCTGGGAGGACAGAACACGATGAGAGGAGGGGTGGTAGAACTGCCACCCGGGAGCGTCTGTGGGGAAGCCAAGGAAGACACAGGAAGTAGCACGAGGGGACAGCTTGTCCGCAGACAAGTCGCGGACAAACGCCCGAGATCCCCAGACACGGAACGCCGACGCATCACCAACCTTCCCCGTCCACATCAAGACTGGGGACATCGCGGGCCGAGAGACCCGGAGGTGAAGGATGATCTGATGCGAGGCGTACCGAACCGCAAACGGCCACAGAAAATGGGGGGCAGCCGCATGGACCATGGACGTACGGGCGACGTCCATGACAATGCCGATGCGGCGCTCAGCAATCCCATTCTGCTGTGGAGAGTCCAGAAGCGTGAAGGTCTGGCGGATGCCTCGTGTGTGCACGAGCGGGCGAGCACACAGAGAAAAGTCTGCTCGACTTGAAGACCAAGGCGCACCGGTAAGTGGTGTTCGTTGCAATGCTTGACACGTCTTTATCATTCACCCTCCGTGCCAAATCTGAATCATCCACTCTTTCTTGTGCAGTATGATACACGACCTGACGACGCACCTCAAGCAGGCATCAGATTGGAACTTCATCAAAATGCACCTGATTAGCCACTTCATAGATTCGATCCGTCGTGCAGGATTGCCAGAGCACTACTCCGCCCAGCTCTACGAGCACTTGCACATAGAGTTCATCAAAACACCATATCGCGCATCTAACAAGCGCACAGTGAACGCACAGGTTGTACAGAGCGAGGAGCAGCGCTTGCGATTGCAAGCAATCGCACCCATGCTTCGCGCGAAGAAGGCGTACGTCACAGCGATGATCAAGGTGCGTGCCAGGTGGTTATTTTGTCGTGTCATTTGCATCATCGTTCGTTAACACGGTTTAACGTGGTGGTAGTATTCCCATTTCTCCCGCAGGCACAAAGGACGGGCGTGCGAGTGCTCTCGCGTCGATCTTGGCTCCTCCACGTTCCCCGCTGCAGGGAGGCGGCACCTTTCTGCATCCCGAGTGTGCCACAGACGAATCGTGATGCGATGCTCGAGAAGGAAATTGGGGCTGATCTAAAACACCTGCGGACGGCGCTGAACGCAGCCCCTGGGTGCAACAACAAGGGAGAGGACATCGCGAGCATACACGTGTGTTATGTTCATCAGTTCTACCAGTGACGAAATCACCATGTCCCTTCAGTCCCTAGATGCGAATGGTTGTGATACGTAGAATGTGTATTGTGTCTTCGTGTCAGGTGCATTGGGAAATGGCCATGCCATCGGCGGTCGACACACAGTACAGCCGATTGCCTCATCGAGTGCGTGCCCTGCCGAGACACCATGGGCGGCCATGGTATTCAGACGTGGCCGTGAAGGGTGAGACAGAGGCCGGCCACGAGGAGTGGTATACAAAGGCCCTACTGCTGTTTCACTGCAAGGTGGATGGGCAGACAAAGGAGTACGCATATATCAAGTACTATGATGTGCAACCCGCATTAGATAGCGACACCAAGTGCAAGCGCCTGAAATGGCCCCCGCTTGCAGCTAGGTATCAAGTGATTGAGATACATAGCATCAAGCGGGCTGTGCATCTGATTCAGTTAGATAGGACTGTAGATATGTGGCTGGTGAACCGTTTCGCATGGTGATGTAATGCTAGACGCTGTGAATGACACCAAACTTGTCCAGCATGCTCATCGTTATACAAACATGTCGTCGCTTGATCTTCCACTATTTCTTCACACACTTCTCATCATCACCCTATTACCTAGCCATAGGATGTTATTCCATCTCGTTAGCACAACTACACAGCTCATGGAGCATGTTTGTGCGTTTGCTGGCCCGAATCTGTGCGTGGATAGGCCAGCGCGCAACATGTCACTGCGCTAACGTCTAGATGCTATTGTTTCCACTATTTCTTCACACTGTTATCCTCATCATCCTATTACCTAGCCATAGGATCTGATTTCATCTCGTTTGCACTACTACACAGCTGGTGTCGCATGTTTGTGCGTTTGATGGCCTGAATGTGCGTGCGGATGTACATTTGCGCAACATGTCACCGCGCCATCATCTGGATGCTATTTTTTCCACTATTTCTCCACACAATTCTCATCATCATCCTATTACCTAGCCATAGGATCTGATTTCATCTCGTTTGCACTACTACACAGCTGGTGGCGCATGTTTGTGCGTTTGATGGCCTGAATGTGCGTGCGGATGTACCTTTGCGCAACATGTCACCGCGCCAACATCTGGATGCTATTTTTTCCACTATTTCTCCACACAATTCTCATCATCATCCTATTACCTAGCCATAGGAACTGATTTCATCTGGTTAGCACCACTACACAGCTCGTGGCGCATGATTGTGCGTTTGCTGGCCCGAATCTGCGCGAGGATATGCCTATGCGCAACATGTCATTGCGCCAACGTCTGGATGCCTTTTTTCCCCTATTTCTTCATAAAGTTACCTAGTACATGATATTTCGTAGCCATAGGAACTGGTTTGAGCTCATTCGCACAACTACGCAGCACATGACACTCGTATGTGCGTTTACTACCCTACAACTATGCAAAGGTAGGCCTGTGCGCAACGTGTCACTGTTTCAACGTCTCAATGTTACCTTTACCTCGATTTCTTCACAATGTTCGCTAGTACATCATATTGTTTGACGGTAGAAACTGGATTGAGATCATTCGCACAAGTACACAGCACGCGGCGCATATCTGTGCAGTTGGTGGCCCGAAACTGTGCAAGCACAGACCTGTGCGCAACATGTCACCGCACGCTCGGTTCGATGGTTTTTTAAACAGTATTTATTCACACAGTTCTCTACTACCTCCTACTCCCTTGCCGTAGGAAGTGGTTTGACATCGCTCCACAAATGTAGTTTGATGTGTCGTATTAGTGACACTTGTATATTGACTAACACCAATAATTAGGCATACATGGATCACGTACAATTTAAAAGCTTAGTTCATTAACTACCTGCTTAAAAAGTTTGAAAACACACACTTAAAGTGCAACAAAAGAATACAGATATCATGTTTGGGCAGGGCAATAATGTTAAAAAGTATAGAACCACCTGGTTATTCGTGCGAAGGTTACCGAGTGTACATTGCGCCGGTTGGGAAATTACATAGCATAACTATGTTGGAAACTCCATTCCCTGGCCACGTCACGACTGCCATTGGCTAATAGGAAACCGCAGAGGTGAACCAACGCATCATTATCCAGCCACGTTCATACAGCTGCCTCTGTGCTGGATAGGGTGAGGGGTGTCACAGGCGGGGTTGTTGCCGCGTGGCTTTGCATAGGTGGCTAATTCTTGTGCAATGAACCTGGTTGCCTGGTTGCGTGGTTCATTTCCGTGCTGAGCTGTGGTGCCCCACTCTCGAAACTTCCAATTACCTGTCGTGCTGTATAAGTGAAGATTCCATCTTGACGGTGTGGATTGATCGAGAGCCACATTTCTGCTGTCGTGCTCGTCTGACGGTCTCGACTTAAAGCTCGCGGCCCAAATTGCAATTTGGGAATTTGGGCCGCGAGCTTTAACCAGCTGTCAGCATTCGCACTGACGGTTGCGATCTAATCGTACATTCATTTGAGCAGAAACGTGCACCGTCATGTACATCTGACGGCTCCGGACCGTGGGGCTGTCAAGATGCTCGCACCGCACGCGGCGTGGCCAGCCGACCTCGCGCAAGCCAACCAATCATCGGAGGTCGCAACATATTTGCCCGATTTTTTTGCTGACGTTTCACTCCCGAAGGGGAATAGGCGGTCAAAACATTTTCGTGCAAGTTTTGATTCTTCCGAAGTATTTAACACCTGGTATATGAAGCCGTTATCTTCACATACGATGATATATCGTCGTATACGATGGGGGAAGTAGAAGAAACAAATTATCGGCCAGGGAATGGGCTGACCAGAAGGGTTCAGGGGGTGGGCGAGGGGCTGGAGGGGGTCACGCTTCCATCGCCATTTGCAGCAGAAATGACTGAAGCTGAAGCAGATGCACTTGTGAACAACCACCGAGCCCTCTACCAGCAAGCTCTCAAGCGCCGTGAGACGATTGCTAGCAGCGTCGGCAAGACCAAGTGTGTTCACACCCTCTCTGGTGTGCCGGTTCCTCAGAAAAAATCCCGCGCCGCTAAGTCCGGTGGGCAGAAAGGCAAGCGGAGGAGGAAGGCTGGAGCTACTACAGGCAGTCAAGCTGACTTACCTGCTCCCGCGTCGACCGAGGAGGAGCTTGTCACAGACGGGCTCCTGGGCCTCCCTCTGCCAGCAAGTTCCCAGCAGCAGCAGCAGACCGTTACGAACCTGAACCCTCTGCCCGCGGGTTCTCAGCAGCAGCTTCTCGCGAGCTCTCTCCCGAACCGTCCTCGTCCCGTGACTCGCCAGCAGCAGCTTTTTACAACTACCCAGCAGCAGCAGCAGCAGCAGCCTGTCGCTTCCCAGCAGCAGCAGCAGCCTGTTGCTTCCCAGCAGCAGCAGCAGCAGCCTGTTGCTTCCCAGCAGCAGCAGCAGCAGCCTGTTGCTTCCCAGGAGCTGCAGCAGCCTGTTGCTTTCCCAACGCAGCAGCAGCAGCCTGTTGCTTCCCAGCAGCAGCAGCAGCCTGTTGCTTCCCAGCAGCAACGGCAGCAGCAGCAGCTGCCTGTTTTTTCCCAGCAGCAGCAGCAGCAGCCTGTTGCTTCCCAGCAACAGCAGCAGCACAACCTTGAGTTTCTCGCTGACGCAACCACCGGCGCGCTGGCTGAGGATTTCTCGACGGATAACCGCTCCGCCTTCGACAAGGAGCTGGACGAGGGGCTGGACGAGGAGCAGGACGAGGAGCAGGAAGAGGATGACGAGGAGGATTCTGAGGACGAAGCTGGTGCCGAACAGCATCAGCAGCAGCTTGCTCAGCAGCAGCAACTTGCTCAGCAGCAGCAGCTTGCTCAGCAGCAGCAACAGCTGGGCGTCGAACAAAACGGTGCCGTCCGCGGAACACGGTCGGAAGGTGAGTGTATTCTTGGAACATTTGACCTGTTCTATTTTTCCAGCTGTGATGTTAAGTTTTTATCTGATTGTTATTTCATACTGAACTTGTCGTTGGTTCCTATTTGCAGCTGTCAATGCGCACTGGGTCCGACAGAATCGCGCACTGCAGGCGCAGGTTGAAGATCTTAAAGCAACCGTTGACATCCTGCAGATTTCGCGAGTTGAAGCGCAGCAGAAGCTTGCCGCCGCCAACTCTGAGTGCGAAATCCTGCGTTCCCGACTGGGTGAGCTTGAGGCGCAATAGGCGGGCGGGGTGTCGGAGATGTCTTCTGACGGCCCAATTGTCAACCCGGCAAATCTCACAAGGGACAACAATGGCAACGTGATTGTGAAGACAAGCCTCGAAAAGAAGGAGTTTGCGGTAAGTCTTGGTTCTTATGGAACATTCGCTGTTTGACCGTCCGTGCGTTAAATATCCGTGTGCTGGTATTTAGACGGCCCTACCATGGTCATCTGCTTTTAATAATGTTTCTGCTGTTTACCCGTTTATTCGACTGCAGGTAAAGGCTCTCGACACTTTCACGTGGCTGATAACAGACGCGCCAGTGGAGTGCATGGAGTTCTTCCCAACATTCGAAGTCTTCCAACCTCACCTCATCACCAAGTACCAGCTGTGTGGAGTGAATCGCGACGAGTATTTCTACGCGACTGGCGGCAGAATCGAGTTCGAGAAGCTGGTGATGAAGGTCATCAAAACGAAACGTTCAAACACCCACAAGAAGGTTCGTTTCTATGCATGGGGGGCGGGTGGGTTGGTGGATGAGAGCAAGTGGCCGTTGCTGGCGGTGGAGCAGATCATTCCTTCTAAGAAGCGCACGGAAGAGAAGTGGCTGGAAGAATTCAGGCATGGTAAGAAGCACGGTATTAGTGTTTTTATTTATGGTTTTTGAACAGTACACTAATCTACTTGTTGTTTCCTGTGCAGCTGTACTTGGATATGCGTGGCATGTTAATGGTGAAGGAATTCCCTTTGCTAACATTGCTTTTGAGAAGGCTGCTTTGGCTGCATTCTCTGTTGTCACGTCCTCTCTGGTCTACGTGAAGATTCCCATGGTGGCTTACCTTTGTGTCGTGGTAAGTTTCTTGCTTAGTATTTTAACGTTACCTGAAGCTTAGCCACTAACAGCTGTTTCTTGTGCATCCGTGCAGGTTGAAGCCCCCCTTGAAAGCTACAGGCCAGGGAATGGCCAGCCTTCTCTTGGTGGTGTTCCGCAGAACAACAGTAACCTGGTCCGTGCCAAGACTACTGTTGTTGTGGCGGCTCTACACGCCGCGATGGTCAACAATCCCACCTTCTTGAAGCATGATGAACCCAAGGGCTTGGTGCTGGGTTCTGGGAAGGTGCGAATTCTGATTGAAGGATGGGAGCGTGTTTTTCTGTAGTCTGTTGGTGTATAGGTGTGGTAGTGTGTATGTGTGTAGGTTAAATCCCGTAGTGCCTTTTAGCCGCTCATTTGTACTGATTACTAATTATGAGCTAATTTTAGAAATTTATAATTTTATTTATTAAAATTGAAAAGAATCATTCTTTAATTGACAACTGCAATATATAACGTTCCATTCGATATTGGTTTTGAACTTTGTAACATATCAAGTTACCAGGTTGCTGGCACAATCCAGACATTTTAATTATATTTAAGAAGTTTCTGAATACAAGAGAAGTAACAGAAATTGTTACTTGTTACGCACTGGTAACCGACACTTTCCTGTTCTTTCGCCTCTGCTGTTGACGCGACGGTAAATCGACTCCAACCACGGTAAACGCGCGGGATGTCACAGTAAATTCCGGTTGATGTAAACCTAGGCCTCGATACTTCTCGGTCGTAACTGGGGGTACTGGGCAACTAATCGAAATTTATGACAAGTCACGCTAGGTCACTGTAGCACAGTTTTCGCGCGTTAACGGTGATCTTGACCCCCCTCTGTTTTCGATGTACATTGGGCAATACCCTTGGTCGTTTATTGCGGTGGGAAGAAACCACAATCTGCACGTCATACATCCCAGGCATGTCGGCGTTTACCACTCAATGCTGCGTTCCCATTTTTCTGATGCTCGTACCTCTTCTCGTCCTCACCGCCGCCGCCGACTGCTTTCCCCGCAACGCCGCGCCCCCACCGCTGCCCTCCCCCCCTCGCCGCCCCGACCCTCGCCACCGTCCCCCCCCTCCGCGCGGCAACCTCCGCCTGCGCGCGCCTTCTCCGCTCCGCCATGCGGCGGAACCGTCTCTCGGCGCGTGGCTCGATTTCCCCAGTGTCTCCTGGGGAAATTCTAGCTCCTGGCGCAACCGCGGAGAAGGCGGGGGGAGCCACGGCGAAGCGCGGGAGGGCCGCGCGCTTTTGCGGGTTGAGGTTACCGCCGCCACCGCCGCCGCTGTTGCTGAGAGGCCCGTGGCGCTAGGAGCGTCGCAGTGTGAGTAGTGGGGATGAGTTAAGGGTGGTGGAGGCGAAGAGTGGGGCATTGGCAGTGGGGCATTGGGAGTGGGAGTGGGTGCGCGGCGTGGTGGGAGCGAGTGAATTGTTGCATCTCAATGCACCGTGCATTGATGCAGCTGATCTGGTGCCTGCATCACTGCTCCCCGTTCCGCAGTATCTCGATCGATTACCCTGAGTATCCCCGTTCTCCCCATTATCCCCATTACCGTCACCTCCCCGTTTCCCCCATCACCCCGTTCACCCCATCTCCCCGTCCCCCGCATCGCCCCGTCCCCCCCATCGCCCCGTCCCCACGTCACCTCCATGGCCTTTTTCTCCCCATCATCATCCTCATCCCCATCCCCATGCACCTGGGCGGTGTGCGTGCAGTGCGCGCGCTGGTGCAGCTGCAGGAGGCGTGGCGCGCGTGGGCGGGCAACAGCAACGCCACCACGGCGTGCTCTGCGTGGGCTGGCGTCACCTGCAGCCCCAACGGGGCCGTCGTTGCCCTGTGAGTCGCATGGGGGCTCGTCACTGCCCTGTGTGCGAGTGGGTGGCTGGCTCGACATCGTGCAATGCGTGCATGGATGCATGTGTGTGTGCGCACAAGCGTGTTCGAAAGATACCCATCCATGTGTGTGTGTGTGTGTGTGTGTGTGTGTGTGTGCGCGCGTGTGTGCGTGTGCGTGTGTGTGGGTGTGGTTGGGCGGGCGGGCGGGTGGGTGGGTGGGTGATTGGGTGGTTGGGTGGGCGTGGTGCGCGTGCGTGCATGTGTGCGTGCGTGTGTGTGCACGTGTGTCTGTGTGTTTGCGCACGCATGCGCACGTGTATGTGTGTGCGCTTGTGTGCGCATGTGTGTGAGCGTGTGTCCATGTGCATGCGGTCGGTCGGGTTTTGGGCTGTATGTTTTCGTGCGCATGCATGCAAGCATGTGTGTGAGTGTGCGTGTGTACATGCATGTAAGTGTGTGAGTGGTATGTGCTGTGCGCGTACACATGTGAGTGAGTGCATGTGTGTGTGAGTGCATGTGTGTGTGAGTGCATGTGTGTGGGAGCGCATGTGTGTGTGAGTGCATGTGTGTGTGAGTGCATGTGTGTGGGAGCGCATGTGTGTGTGAGTGCATGTGTGTGTGAGTGCATGTGTGTGTGAGTGCATGTGTGTGTGAGCGCATATGTGTGTGAGCGGATGTGTGTGTGAGCGCATGTATGCCCTGGCAGGGACTCCAAGGCCTTTACCATGGATCCTCCTCCCACTGGCACCATTCCTGCTGCCATCACCGACCTCGCCGCTCTTCAATACCTGTCCGTCCGCGCCTCCCCCTCCCTCTGCCCTCTGCCCTCTGCCCTCTCCCCCTCCCGCTCCCTCTCATCTTGCCTGCACCATCGTGCCTTCTTCTCTTCCTTTGCTCATCCCATCCCTGGCCTCCGTTCAAGTTTCTCCCATTCAATTCCTCCTTGTGCGCTGCTGCCCCAATACAGTGCATTGTACTTCCTGCTTCCACCACTCCCTTTTCATGCTTCCCCTGCAAACTCACTTGACCTTACCATCCATCCCTTCCCTCCCTCCCTCCCCCTCCCCACCCCCTCTCCCACTTCTCTCTTCCTGCCCATCCCTTGCTCTAGAATTTGATTTCTTGTTCCCCCCCCTCCCTCCCCCTCCCTCCCACCCAACCCGCCCCCACCCCCCGCCCCCCCTCGCCCACTTTTCTCTTCCTGCCCGTCCCTTGCTCTAGAATTTGATTTCTTGTTCCCCCCTTCCCTTCCCCTCCCTCTCCCCTCCCACCCCCCCCCCCCTCCTCGCCCACTTCTCACTTTTTGCCCATGCGTTGCTCTAGAACTCGATTTCTTGCATTTCTGCAGACCTTGCAACTTTCTGCAAGCACTGTACGAGCTTCTGCAAATTCCTTGCAAATTTCTAGAAACCCCTTTTCTATTTTCCGCGCATCCCTTGCCATTTTCTGCGAAACCCTTGCAAATCTCTGCAACCCCCTCGCCATTTCCGGCAAATTCCTTGCAAATGTCTGCAGAGACCTAACGTACGGCATCAACCTGGAGGGCCCCGTGCCATCCCTCTCACCTCTCACCCGCCTCACTTACCTGTACGTCTCACACCCTCCTCTCCTCTCCTCTCCTCTCTTCTCCCATCACAAGAAACACACCTCACATCCCCTCACAGCCCTTCACCGCCCCTCCCACTCGTCGCGCCTACCACTGCAGCTTGTGTGGCGGGGCTGACTTGACCTCGTGCAGTGCATTGACTCACCATGTTCATTGGCCTCGTTCGTTTGTGGCCCCGCCCCCCCATGCAAACTTGCTGGCACATTCCTCCCGTTTCCGTTCTCGTTTTCGCCATTACATACTCTCCACATGACCCATCCTCCGCTCCCTTCCTTGTATGTGCTGCATGGTTCTTGCATGTGCTGCATGGTTCTTGCATGTGCTGCATTCCCCCCTGTTTGTGCCCCTCCCCCCTGCACATGCCCTCCCCCCTGCACATGCCCCCCCCCCCTGCACATGCCCCTCCCCCCTGCACATGCCCCCCTCCCCCCTGCACATGCCCCCCTCCCCTCTGCACATGCCCCTCCCCCCTGCACATGCCCCTCCCCCCTGCACATGCCCCTCCCCCCTGCACATGCCCCTCACCCCTGCACATGCCCCTCCCCCCTGCACATGCCCCTCCCCCCTGCACATGCCCCTCCCCCCTACACATGCCCCTCCTCCCTGCACATGCCCCTCCCCCCTGCACATGCCCCTCCCCCCTGGACATGCCCCCCTCCCCCCTGCACATGCCCCCCTCCCCTCTGCACATGCCCCTCCCCCCTGCACATGCCCCTCCCCCCTGCACATGCGTGCATCGCTCCCTACAGCGCCCTGGGAGCAGACGGCTGCTTGCTCACCGGCACCGTCGACGACCTCTCGTGGCTCTCCTCCCTCTCCGCCCTGCACACACTGTAAGCCCATTCCACTCCACTCCACTCCACTCCACTCTCCACTCCACTCCACTCCACTCCTCTCCACTCCACTCCACTCCACTCCTCTCCACTCCACCCCAGCATTGCTGTGGATGGATGGATGGATGGATGGATGGATGGATGGATGGATGGATGGATGGATGGATGGATGGATGGATGGATGGATGGATGGATGGATGGATGGATGGATGGATGGATGGATGGATGGATGGATGGATGGATGGGATGGGATGGGATGGGATGGGATGGGATGGGGTGGGGTGGGATGGGGTGGGGTGGGGTGGGGTGGGGTGGGGTGGGGTGGGGTGGGGTGGGGTGGGGTGGGTGGGTGGGTGGGCCTCAACCTGTTCTTTCATGCACAGGAATCGCAGAAAACAATCTCACCTCCTTCCTAGGGATGAGCAAAGGGCGAACACGAACATGTTCGTCTTCGCCCCTTGTCGAACACCCTCTTTTGCCGAACCGAACAGTGTTCGGTTCGGCGAACAGTTTAGGAAAAAACAGGTGTTCGCTGTTCGCCTGTGGAGGCGTGTTCGGGCGAACCTCGAACACTGTTCGTGTTCGTCGCGGGCAAATTTCAGCAGCGGCCCGAACACGAACGTGTTCGGGCGAACATCGAACACTGTTCGGCGAACGATTTGAGCTAAAAAACAAAACCTGTTCGGTTCGTCTCGAACACGTTCGAGGCGAACCGAACAGGTGTTCGCCACCTTGCTCATCCCTACTCCTTCCTCTAAACACAGCGCCGCCCCCCCCCCCCCCCCCCATCCCTCCACTCCTCCTTCATCCCCCCTTTCCTCCCTTCCCTTCCCCCCGTTCTCCATGTCAGAACCTTGCCCACTTTAGATCGCATTTCCTCCTCCTCCTCCTCCTCCTCCTCCTCCTCGCTGCCACACACACACACACGCCACACTACCCCAGTATCCCCTGCATGCAGCATCCACCTTCCCACCTCGTGCTGCCTGCTACCATCCCTCCTCCTCAACCTTCCACCCCACTCCTCCCTTCATGTCTCCCCCTCCCTACCTCCCTCCCCCCACCACGCACCACCAGGCACCTGAGCGCCCTGGCGGAGGTCACAGGGGACCTCCCTTCCTTCGCCATGCTGTCGCACATCGACACCCTCCAGGACCTGTGAGCAACCTGACGGCATGCATTCATTCATGCAAGGCAAGCAATGCAAGCAAGCACTCTTGTGATAGTACGTTTCACTGGTGGTGCAACGTTAGTTGAGCGTGCATGCACCCGAACGTGCATGTGCATGTGCATGCCTTTTGACTCAATCCTCTCGTCTGTGTTTTCTGACCTTGACGTGGCTCCTGCTCAAGATGCCTGCATCCATACCATACCAGCGTATACCATGCAATGGTATCAACACAGCCGTGCTGTACCTGGGCTTTAACTGGCACCAACCGGCCTGCTTCCACGTTGCATGGGTGCGCTGTGCTGTGCTGTGCAGCATGCTTCGAGGCTTCAGCGGGGCCACAGGGGAGATCCCCAGGGAGATCCGCTACATGACTGCCCTCACTGCACTGTAAGCTGCTGCACCGCACATGCTTGCTTAATCTCAATCGACTCCATCCATCCACTCCACATCACGTCACACTGTTTTCATTTCGCCCACGCTACACACACGCGGCAGGCGAGCGATTCACGACAAGTGAGCGGTGACGAGGTCACTGTGCTGCACATCGCACCAAGCCCATGCTTCTCTGCATTACGTGCTAGGGATGAGCAAAAAAACGAACACAGGCGAACCGAACAGGTTTGTTTTCTTTGCTTAAAGTGTTCGCCAAACAGTGTTCGAGGTTCGCCCGTACACGTTCGTGTTCGGGCCGCTGCTGCAATTTGCCCCGTGACGAACACGAACGTGTTCGAGGTTCGCCCGAACACGCCTTCACAGGCGAACGGCGAACACCTGTTTTTGCTTTAAGTGTTCGCCGAACCGAACACTGTTCGGTTCGGCAAACGGATGTGTTCGTGTAGGGGCGAACACGAACATGTTCGTGTACACACGCACACACCATGTGGCCCGGCCACCATATCAAGCCCAGACACTGTGTCCCGTGCAGTGCACACTCTATGTGCCATACCATACCACTCAACTATGGCTACCATAATCTCAATTTGGTGGTCCCTCGTTGCAGTGCATCTATGGTGCGGCTCAACTCAGTTGTACAAGCGCCTGCCTGCCGTCTACCCTCCCCTCCTCTCTCCCTGATGACACACGTTTCCTTGCCCCCATCCCTGCAGCGACCTCTCGTATCTCCGTGCCATGGAGTTCCCCAACTGGGTCACCCACCTGTCCAACCTTCAGTCCCTGTAAGCTGCTTGCTTGCCTTGCCTATTGCGTTGCGCCTACTTGGTCGGGCCATTCATGGCACTAGGCAAGGTGGCATGGCACTAGGCAAGGTGGCATGGCACTAGGCAAGGGGGCATGGCACTAGGCAAGGGGGCATGGCACTAGGCAAGGGGGCATGGCACTAGGCAAGGTGGCATGGCACTAGGCAAGGTGGCATGGCACTAGGCAAGGGGGTATGGCACAGCCTTGATTCTTGATGCCCTCGTGTTGCGCAGTCGTCACAATATTAGAGCTCCCCATCAGTCCTCCTGCTGCTGCGCTGCTCATGAGCGTTGCTGCTCTGTTGTATCTCTCATCACCATTCCCCTCAACTGCCATGTTTGCTTCTCCTCGCCCGCATGCAGGAACCTGAACACGGATGAGCCGCGGCGACAGGGCCTGCTGGCGGAAGACATGTCCGAGCTCACAGCACTCACGCGCCTGTGAGTGCAAAGAGTTGCAGAGGCGGCATACAGTGGGATGCAGGGGCATGCAGTGGGGTGCAGGGTCGGGCAGTGGGGTGCAGTGGCTTGCAGTGGGATGCAGGGGCGTGCATGAGCATGGTCTCCCACAGGGCCTTCCTGTGCTGGATGGGCTCTGGATTAAGGCCATTCAACCCACTGATAACATGTACCTCTGCCTCTGCCTCTGCCTCTGCCTGTGCTGTGCAAGTCAAAATGGTACCCGTCTCTTCAGGCATGAAAGTCCTCGTAACTCCCTTGGACCACACTGCAACCCCCTTGTAAACACAGATCACTGTTTGGCAACAATCTGGAAGGTTCCCTGCTCAAGGGCTGGTCCACTCTGGTTAACCTGGCTGACCTGTGAGACCCCGCCTATCGTGCTGTGCCGTGCTGTGCCGTGCTGTGCCGTGCTGCCATGCTGCCATGCTGCAGGCATGAGCAAAGAAAACTAGCCTCAAACCAAGCTGCGGCCCCTTGTTTGCCTACCCGATTCGCGCCGAGCCATGCCGCTGTAATCATTGCCATGAACCTCCTCCATCCACTCTTGATTCATTCCACTATGTACCTACCAGCCTACATGATTTAGCATTTGTTAAAAGGTGGAAAACTTGCTTACTTGCATCGCATTCTCGTAGTTTGGGGTAACTGTTTAGCTTGTGCTGAGTTGCTTTAGAAACTTTCCAAAGTTAGGGTTAATGATGGAGTGGATAAGATTTTATCAGGAGCAAGGCAACCTACCTAGTTTTCGCACTTAGGCCTCATCTCTTCGGGTATCTCCCCGTCCCCAACAATATCAGACAAGTTGAAGTCAGACGTCACTCACTCGCGAGTCAAACCACTCGACGCACTGCTCATTGAACCACCCTCTCACGCATGCCCACTTGCCTTTACATACTCCATTCCACTCCACTCTGTCACTCCTCCCATGTACACTGATTTGAAAACACACACTAAACATTGTCGTTTTCTCCGTGTTGCAGTAATCTGGGGTTCAACCATCTTCAAGGCACAATACCGGCAACGTTCTCTGCCCTCACAGCCCTCACTGCACTGTATGCCCGCGCTCCTTCCAATCAACTCCACCCAACCCGTGGCTTGCCTGACCAGCATAATGCCCCACCAGAGAATCTTGACATGACCTGATGACACCTAATCCTTGAGAGAGAGAGAGAGAGCTAGGTCTTGTCAATATTTTCCTGTGTAGGATCTCTCCACTCCACTGCAAGTGACGTGTGGTGTATTGTTCCCCACTGGTTCACAAGTCTTCCTATCGCTCGCCTACCGGCTCTTTCTCTCCGCCTACCTTCCTGTATCTCCTGTAAGGTGCAGCCTCATCTTCTGGTGCCTGCAACTGAGCCCAGCGGTATTTTAATGTGGTTTGACTTTTGAGGCGCCTCAAACAGCGGTATCTGAATGTGGTTTGCAGTGCCCTAAGCGAGCGTGACACATGAACCCCCTCAACTCATATTTGCTGGCTCAATGGCTGCCTAAGCTCCTTCTCATTCACACCTCCTATTCGTGCCTCGCCGCGCCTCCAGCAGTCTAGTCCTGTTGTTTTCCGCCATTGAGCTGGCGGGCATGTGAGCTGAGCAGCATTGCAAGGAGAACATCGTGAGGCCAACCAGTATGTTTCCACCCCCACACGCATCCCTCGATCCCCGAGCACACTTAATAACGGAGACACGGCAATCGCCTAGGTGTTAAGTGGATTGGCATGGTACCTGCATTCACCCACTCTTGTCTTTCCCATCCTCCTCTCCTCGCCCTGTCCCATGTTTTGTATTCTGCTTCCAATTGCCTCTCTCTCACGAGCAGAGACCTGTCGTGGAACTATCTCTTTGGTACAGTACCTCCTGTCTTCAGCTCCAATGTCAATTCCATGTGCGTATTACTCCTACTCTCTATTCCCCCCTCCCCCCCCCCCCCCCCGCCTTCCCTTCCTCCTCCTTCTCCTCTCTCTTCTCGGGCTCTGCACTGCGCTCCCACCAACTAACTCCTCCCTCCAGTGCCTCTTGCCCTCGCCTTCCTGCTTTAATCATCTTTCTGTTTCATTTCCTCTTCGTTACATCCTCTCCTCCCACTCCCCCCCAACCCCCCCTCCCCCCTCCCCTCCTACCCTTCAACTTACATGCACTCACCCCCTGTCTCGCTCTGCCTCTATGACTGCTGCATGCATCCTCCAGTGCGCATTCAGCTCAACGGCCATTCATTGAATGTTCCGATTCGATTCCCTACCAACCGGCCCTCAGCGCATTTGTGCATTGCTTACCTTCACCCAACCCGCACCGTACCTTGCCCTGTCCTGCGCTCTGCCTCTGACCAGACTGCTTGGATACAACGCCTTTGACGGGCCCATCCCACCACACCTGGCACTGCCCAGCTTGACCCAGCTGTGCGTTTTATTCTACCTCTCTCTCACCTTGCATAGCTAGTTTCGGGGAACTTCAACTCAATTACCACGCCTCTCCTCAACTGCACTCATCCATACACTCGTCTCTGCACTCGTCTCTGCACTCGTCTCTGCACCTCTTCCATGGATGGTTGGTGCCTTTGCCTGTGCTGCCGTTTTGCCACTTGTCCGACTGCCCTGGGCCTCTATCTAGGTAAGACAACAACGAGGTACGGCTATTCTGCTCACCTAATACCCGACTCCTCTCGTTTTCAGCTGTTGTGTCAAGTTGTATGTCTTAGCCTGTGCTGTGCATGCGGTGCTGTGCTCGTCTCCTGTGCGTGCAGCCAGCTGTCCAACAATCAGTTCACAGGAGGCATCCCCAGCGCATTCACCAGCCTCACCGGCATGGCTGCTCTGTACAATCTCCTTCCCTCACAGCTCTGCACGTCCCCCTCTCCACTCCTTCACTGCATTTGCCTGCTGTCTACCCTTGCCTTGCCTTGCTTCGTTGGCACTCGCCCCTCACTCACTCACTCACGACTCACTCAAGACTCACTTACGTACCCTGACTGACCCATTTCCATTGTGTCTGCTGCTGGATGGAATGTCACATTTTCCACCCAATAAGTTTTGCATAAGCGAATGCATTGGCAATGCCTTTGCATGCAGTGGATACGGTTGTGGTTGCTCGTCTTTTATGCCACTCACCCTGCCTTCCCATCCCATCATTGCCCCACACACCACCTCACCACGCAACACCACACAACCCCACCCCACACCACACCACCCCACCCCTCACCACCCCTCACCACACCACAGGGATGTGTCCAACAACAGCCTCAGCTCAGGCCTGGACGTGGTGGCTCAGATGACATGGCTCACAGACGTGTGAGTGCTCTCTGCTCCTTCTCTGCCTCACCCTTGGCCCGTGTGCTTCCTCCTTGCTCCCTGCTCAACCTGCTATGACTCTGTCACGTTAATCTGTGGTATTCTCTGCCCATCTCATCCGAGCCGCTCCCTGCAATATGTTGACCCCATGCATGCATGCATGAATGCAGGGTGCTCCATACAAACAACTTCTCCGGTGTGCTGCCCATGGCGTTCTCAGGGATCGAAGGCCTCTCATCCATGTGAGCCATGCTGCATCTGCCATGCATGGTCACACCAATGCACCGATGCCTGTTTGCTCACAATTGCAGCCGTCAAGAGATTCCACTGCTCGCTTTATTACACGAATTTACTACACTAGACAGGGTGCCGTGGCGGTGCTATCCTTGTATCGTATGCTGTTCCAGAAGACCTTGCATGTTAGGGATGAGCACGAGGCGAACACGAACATGTTCAACAGGAACATGTTCGTGTTCGCCCCTGAGGGCTTAGCATTATAAAACACTGCCAATGCATCCCGCTGATAGGGTTTTCAGTTTGGTATTGTTTTGCCTTACCTTTGCCGTGTTTATAATAACTTTGATGAGCATGAATAACGTGCGGCATAGAACGTGTCCATAGTCAAAGGACTACCAAAGGGTCCCTCCATAGCCCACCAACAAAATCAAAACTACATCCCTGTCCCACCCCCGCTACCAACACCACCATCCGCGCCACCTGCTACTGCGTCCGCCCCTCTCCCCTTTGCCGCCTCCTCATCCACCTCCTCCGCCGGCCCCCCCTCCACCTCCTCCGCCTCCACCTCCTCCTCCACCTCCTCCTCCTCCTCCTCCTCCTCCTCCTCCTCCTCCTCCTCCTCCTCCTCCTCCTCCTCCTCCTCCTCCTCCTCCTCCTCCTCCTCCGCACCCTCCTCCTCCTCCGCACCCTCGCCCTCAAGAGCGATCTCCAATGCTGCGACCCCTTTCGTGCGGCAGCCCTCGCCGATCCTTTGGCCAGAGTGCGATCCATACCACGATATGAGAATCATGCAAAATCGCGCCCTCTCGGAGTTCAGGTGGTGACGCTCCTTGCGGCCCAAGGAGAACACGCGCTCGCTCGCAGCTGATGTAGCAGGGATCGCAAGATAATCCCTCGCCATCCGCTTCAGCGTCTCCATGTTCGTGGAGGTGCGCCTGTACTCTAGCGCTGACACGTCGTACCGCACCCTCTCGGACAAGTACCTGCTGACCTCATCGTCCTGCGCAGGACCACCCCCCCCCCCTCGCCGCCTGGCTCGCAGACAGACGCACTGCAAGGCGTCGGCGACTAGGGAGATAAAGGTTGTCCTCGTCATCCCCCCCCCCTCTCCCTCCTCCTCCTCTACCACCGTGGTAAGTGTAATGGGCCTAAGAGCCAGCTCCCTAGCCGCCGCCTGGTACTCGGCCACCCGCTCACGTACTAGCGCGATCACCACACCCGACGCTGGGCGCGGCCTCTCCATCGGCTCCTTCGCTGAATGCTGCGTCTCCCAGTGGGCTATATCTGGGTCGAGGCCAAGAACACAGTGATCGGATTCTCCAACTCAAGGAAGCGGTCGATCATGGCATGAGCCGAACCCCAGCAGGTAGGACTGTCCTGCACCAGCTTCAAGGCTGGTTTTTTTACACGGGTCTGATGGTTCAAGCCGCGCTGAAGTCCCAAAAACGCCATCGAGCGTTGCGGCGAGTACCCAACCCAGGACACCATGATTCTGAGCACCTTCAACAAGGCGCGAATGGCATCCACCTTCAGTCCTGCCTGCACTGCCAGGTTAACCACATGTGACAAGCACCTGCGGATCATAGCACCGTAGGCATGTGATTTGGGAGGTAGTGACACATGGTCTTTGGTTGGCGTGGGGGATTCCAAAAACCCCAAATACACCCACACACACCCACAATGCCGTCTTTGACAAGCCACCCCATTATCACTTCCACACCCACTCATACCTGAAGTGCAGGCGGGAGTTGAAGAAAGCCCGATCACCACCCTCCTTCGACAGGCGCTTGAACGTGGCAATGTTGGCGGAGGCGTTGTTTGTGGTGATTCCCAGACAACGCCCCTCTAACCCCCACATCACCACAATGTCCTCCACGATCTGCGCGATCTGCGTCGTTCCATGACGACCCGTCAGCTCGCGAAACTCCAGCATTGCCTCACGTTGTTGAAACGTCTCGTCGATCCAGTGACCTGTATCAACTAACCAAGCCTTCCCATTGGGTGCAGTCCAGATGTCAATGGTGTATGACACCTTGCATCCCAACTCCCCCTCATTCCCTAGCAGCTCCACCTTGGCAGCATGCAGAGCGGCCACAGCAAACGCCACAGTGTCGCGTGCCACCGTCCAGCGCAAAGGCATGAAGTTGTTCTGCCCGCAGTGATGGTTGCACAGGGTCAGAAGCTCGCGAAATTGGTGGGGTGGGTGGAAGGATTTCACACAACAAGCATGCGTTGGGTTTCGCCTAACAGCGCAAGAATGGCATGGAAAGGAGAGGCGTAAGTGTCCCAACCCAACACCCTCCCCTCAGCATCATGCGCTCGCCATACCCACACCACAACTATGTTCGGAAAGACGCAGCTAGGACGCTGCGTCCTGCGTTCGGACGCTAGGACGCAGGACGCACGTCGAAAAAAATTTCGGGCAGCCCGATTATTTTTTTTCGATCGCAATTTTGGCATTCGCGATTTCGACGCGAATGTCGAAATCGCGAAATTTCCCCACCCCAAACCCAATTCGCCATTCAAAACCAGCCCCCCTTTTGTGGCTTCTCATTTTCCCCTCACCAATTCTCTTTCGTAAACCCATAGAGGTTTTAGGTCTTAGCTTAGCTTACCACCTAAACTCTGCTATGGCTTCCTCGAGCATTCCTTCTTCTTCCACCGCGTCTAAGAGTGTTGATGATGCCGTAGACTCTCCCCCCAAGCGTATGACACCCCCCCCCCCCCCCCCCCCCCCTCTCCCAAGCCCTATACATTTTGCTTTTGGCCTGCCCGGGGGTTTTTTTTGCCCTGCCCGGGCTTGCGCCTTTTGGTGCGTCTTACAGGTCCAGGGTCAGCGTCCTGCGTCTGGACGCATGCGTCCAGGACGCAGGACGCGTCTTTCTGAACTAAGCACCACAACAGCCACACCCAGCAGCAGTAAACCCTTACCACCTCAGCCTCCACAATTTTGAAGGGAAGGTCGCAGGTCACCACCAGCTTGACGATTGCCTGACGAAGCTCCACTTCTGACAGCTTCTTTGACATGTAGCTCTTGATCCCAGCCTCGCCAGACCCCTCCGCCCCTCGCCCCTCTGCCTTCCCTCTCTTCCTTGGGATGTTAGGCCAGCTTTCTGCATGCGGCCAATAATATACGTAGCCATCCGGCACTCCGACGTAGTCTCCCCTCGGAAACGTCTCGCCCGGCAGTTGCAGATGTGGATTGTGGCAACGGTGGTACCACACATCCATATGAGCAGTGTGGTAGCTCTCGAAGTGGCGCTCGCCTCGTGTAGGTGTAGATCCCCTCCAAGAAATTCGATCAGTGCAAATCTTGCATTGCCGCTTGTCGTCGGTCCCCTTAGGCCCAAACATATGAACTTGCCACCCTCGCTTCTTCCTCCCCTTGCCATTCCACCTGCTACTCTTGGTCTCTCCCTCCTCGTCAATGAACTCTGGAGCGACCACACCCTCGCCCAAATCCACCCCTCTGAAGGTGCAAGGATACGCTCGTGTTCGCAACTTCTCGGCTTTCTTCTTTCTGTTCCCAATTAACGGCCTCTTTCGCCCAACCTTAACACCGCCACCACCACGCACCCGTCCTCTACCCATGTGCCGAGAGGCCTCTTCTGCGGCAGCCGCGGCAACCCCTCCTCATTCACCAACACCCTCCTCCACCCCCTCAGGCTCTAACCCTTCCATCTCCTCATCTTCATCTCCTCCCCCGTCCCCACCACCACCATGCGTCTCGGGTGTCCACCCCTGCTCACTATCATCACCGCTCCCCTCCTCGTCCTCCTCCTCCTCCTCATTCTCCCCCTCATCGTTATCCTCCTCCTCCTCGTCCGCCTCACTGGCGGTCTGAGTGGTGGTGCGCGTCTGCCCAGCTGAGCGGGGTCGATCACCCGAGTAACGGAACGACAGACGAGTTGATGGCACGGGCATGGACAGAAGCCCACCGACGAAACAAGCACCTCCAGGGCCGTCACCTACTCTACCCTGCATAGGTCCTTGTGCAGATGATGGAGCACTGCCTTGACTACCGCGACCACCCTGCCCTGCACTAACTTGTTGGTGGGAGGCCATTTCCCTCGACGGCCGAAGAAACCTAGACTAGACCCTTGATAGACTGGTGATGCGGCGGCGAGGGGAGGGGAGTGTCACTTTGATGGAGACCTTGACGGTGGAAACCCCTTCAACGGTGGAAACCCTAATGGTATCCCTCTACTTCAACTTTGCGCTGGGAGTAGATGCTGGCTACCTTCTATTATTAAAACTTGTAAGCATCTCGCCAACACGTGAGAATTGAAACATCTTCCCCACTAGGCTAGTAGTAGTAGGTGAGGGTGTGGGCTGGGCGGCCTGGTGGCAGCGACATGGTCACGGAGCTCTAAAAAATGACCAACACAAGAATTGGCCGCAACCCTAGATTATGTCGTGGCCAATACGTCGACGAACACCGAGGTGTTCGTTGATGTACCGCGTCGAACACGAATCGACGCCGTCGAACACCGAACATGTTCGCACGAACAACGAACATGTTCGCACGAACAACGAACATGTTCGCACGAACAACGAACACGTTCGTGCCGAACATTTTTTGGCAAAAAAGAGCCCGTTCGGTTCGTCTCGAACATGTTCGACCGAACCCAACGGGTGTTCAGATACATGCTCATCCCTATGCATTGCATGTTCCGTGTTGAAGGGGCGTAGGCTGGGCTCGTTTCGTCTTATTCAATGTCACCGTTTATGGGCCATTATCGAGTGCGGTGCATGAGGGTTTTCCAATCGTCGCCGTGTGAAGTGGACGACCTACCTATCCCGGAGGCATATGTTTATGCATGTGCATGCGCATACCTCTGCCACCATTCTATCTAAGTGTTGTCTGTGCATGCGTATCATTTGTCCACTCTTTCAACACCTTGGTTCTGCTCTGTGCCAGAAGCATTGCCAACAACCGCTTCTCTGGATCGTTCCCCGAGTCTCTGTTAAAACTGCCAAGCCTTGTTCTAATGTATGCAGCTGGAGGGCTGAGCTGAGGGTCTCGCAAGCGCTCAAATGTATGGATCCAACGTAACACAGCCAAGCAAGAATCTCCACTTTAAGGGTATAAATGTACACATGTGTCAACTCTTTTGTTGTAGCTGACAATTTCCACTGGCAATGGCGGTGGCTGGCTGGCAGGGATCTGAGCAACAACAGTTTCACGGGGTCCATTCCCAAGCGCCTTACGAAGCTTGCTCAGCTGATAGACATGTGAGTTGCGCCGTGTGTGGGAAAGGATTCGCCCCACTCAGCGATTCCTCCTGTATTTGCCCCAACGCAGAGAAAGGAAAATAGAAGAAAAAAGGTTGAGTTGTGAGGTGGGGTGATGTGTGTTTGGACCACGAAACGAAGGGATTAAGGAGGAGAAAATAAGAGTGGATCCATAAGTGAGGCAAGGAGATGAGGCTGGGATGAATCTGTGGAAGGTTGTAAATACTGTTTCCAACTTCCAGACATTCACTGTTGCAGGCTCAGCTGAGGTTATTTCTAAGTCGACTCAAAACATACCGTTTCGTGTCAAGCGAACAGACATTTCCTGGGCATAGAAGCTGAAGTTGATGTTTTTTCATAGATTACTAATTCCTTGTCTGCTTGCTGCTGCCTGGTCTCCTGTTCACGTGGCAGCAACCTGAACAACAACAAGTTCCACGGGGTTATCTCTCCGCGTCTCTTTCAGCTCTCCATGCTCGACTCACTGTATGTAACTTGCTCCTCTCCTCCCCCCTCTCCCTCTCTTTCTCCAAACACCGGGTGCTTGCTTCTGAGTGAAAACAGAAACAACTCTCCTCAAGTGCGGTGTGATCCGTCTGATTCTTTACGTAGTGAACCATCTTAGTGATTATTGCTTCCCCATGGCCCACTGGCAACATATTTCTCTTCTGTTCGCATGAAGGAACCCACCCACTTCTCACACCAATGTTCTATATGAGCAAATACCTGAGATTCTTCACGTCTCCCCCGTTTCCTCATTTGCAAACCGGATACTAGAATCCGTACACGAAGACCACCAATCTGTCTACCTTTCATATTCTTCTCCATACGTAAAATGAATGACTCTCCAGGGCACCTTAGCTCTCCTACTGAATGCAACCCAACCTTTCATTCTCTCCCACATCCGCACCCCTCTGCGGCAGGCAAGTGGCCAACAACTTCCTCTCGGGGGGCCTTCCAGCGTCTCTGCGTGCCTCGTCCTCTCTTAAAACACTGTGCGTGCCGCTGCTGCCACATGCTGTTACTGTTTGCTCTTTTTATTGATTTCCTGTTTTTTATTTAGCTCTGCACCGTCCGATCCACTCTCTCACATGCAGTAGCCTAACCATCCCTTCTCTTCTTTCTCATGCTCTCCCCCTTGTGTGCGTGCGCTGTGCAGTAGCCTGCCAGGAAACAGGTTCACAGGTCCTTTGCCCGACTTCTCGCTCTGGAGTGTCAGCCTCGAGAACCTGTGCGTGTTTCCCCCTCTCTCTCTCTCTATCTCTTTCTTTATCAGTCCTTCAATTAGCCATGGTACCAAGTACACAGAAAGGGGCAACACATGAGGCAACGTTACAGCCTACACCAGCCCTCACTCCCTCCAGCGACCCGCCCCCTTTCCATTGTGCTGAGGAGGTTCTGCAGTGTAGCGGCAATCAATCACCGTGGGTGTCTTTTTGTCTTCCTCTCTGCACTCGCTGACGCATCTGCACCTGTTCACATGCATGGGGCCGCGTGGACTTACCTTGCGCATCAAGTAAACAGCCTAGTCCATCCATCCACCTTATCGACCCACCTCTCTGAGTCGTTTGTTTCTTACTTGTACCTGCAATACCGTCGCCCATGTGTGTGTGTGTGTGTGTGTGTGTGTGTGTGAGTGTGTGTGTGTGTTTGCGTGTGTGTGTGTGTGTGTGTGTGTGTGCGCGCGTGTGTGTGTGTGTTTGCGTGTGTGTGTGTGTGTGTGTGCGTGCGCGCGCGTGTGTGTGTGTGTGTGTGTGTGTGTGTGTGTGTGTGTGTGTTGATGCAGGGCTCTCAACCACAACAACTTCACAGGGCCCATTCCGGACTCTATCTCCACCCTCTCCAGCTTGAAGGCCATGTATGTGTGTATGTGTGCGTGCGTGCGTGTGTGTGTGCATGCGTGCGTGTGTGCGTGCGTGCGTGCGTGTGTGTGTGTGTGTGTGCGTGCGTGTGTGCGTGCGTGCGTGCGTGTGTGTGCGTGCCATCGCTGCTTGAATGTGTGTTCTATCATGCAAACTCGCGCCAACCTACCAATTCATTTTCCACTGCCATCTCAATTCGTACATGATATGATACATACATACTGTCCCCATCCGTACCAGCTCAATTCGTGCGCACTGCTGTGTGCGTTTATGATGTGCGTACATCCATACATACCGTACGTACATACACACATACTGTCCCCATCCATACCCGTCTACCATCTCAGTGTACACAACTCTGCCATCGCAATTATGCCGCCGGCACCCACCATCCAATTGCTCCCTGCACTTCCACGCCACACCACACCCTACCACACCACACCGCCCTGCAGCGTACTCAACAACAACCAGCTGGCCGGGTCCATTTCATCGGCCATCTTCAACATGACCAATCTCGTTTCCCTGTGAGCCTCTGGCTGGGCGGTCTATAGTGTCAAGCAGAGTCGAACGCGCACAGCTCAGAGCTGACCGTCTTAGTGTCCGTCTGTCGTGCCATCCCTCGTCTCGCTCACCATGTCTCCCGTGCTCACGTTGCTCGCTTTGTTCGCCCATTCACTGCTCTCCATCACACCCCCGCTCACTTCAGAGCGCCTCTTGTGCCGACCAACCTCCAGTCCAGCACCTGAATCAATATCTCCTTCCCTGCCTGTCATCACCCTGCAGCTACCTCGCCAACAACCATCTGAGTGGCAGTCTGCCGTCTGCCATTAGTCGTCTGGAGAAGCTCGAGCAGCTGTGAGCGCCCTTGCTGCCCACCCGTTCATCAGTCCGCTTCTTACCTTCCATTTTCACACGCGCTCTCTGTCTGTTCTGCTCTCCCTGCTTCATATCATTCATAATTCTCCCCGTCCATGCGCGTGTACTGTACTGTACTGTCCTGGCCCACCTCCTGTCTATCCCATTAGCCCTGTGCATCTGGTCTGGGTGACATGATCCCAAGGCTCTCTCCTTAACTTTTCTCTGATCTCACTGCACTCCCTGATGTCCTTCCCTCTGTTCTCCCTTCTCCCTCTACTCTCCCTTTTCCCTCTGCTCTCACTGCTCCCTCTGCTCTCCCTGCTCCTTCGCCGCGCTCCCTCTCCCCTTGCCGCAGCTGGTTGGACAACAACAGCATTGAGGGTCCTGTGCCCCCTGCCATCTGCTCCCCTGCGCGGCTGTGGCGCATGTGAGTGCCTCTCACCTGCCTTCTGCTCTGGCTTCTGCGTACAACATTTTCATCACTCTTTTGAAGCGGTTCCGCTGTTGTATAAAGGTTTCAGAGTGATTCTTTTTTATGATTCTTTCTAGGTAATATGCTGACTTGGAATGCACTGTGCTGTGTACTGAGTGCTGTGTGCTGGCAGCATGATGAGCAACAACTACCTCTATGGGCCCCTGCCAGAGTGCATCTTCGACAAGTGTGTCAATCAGCTGTACGCTACTCTAACCCTCCTCTTGTCACTGCCTTCTGCTCTTCCACGTCAGCAAGTACTCAACCACACCTGCACTGCACCGTGTTATGCAAACACCTGCAATAGCAAGGGGCTTGACACGAGAGGCACATCCAGAACAATCGAACAACAACACTTGATTGAATCGCAATCACAATTACGCACTTGAACTCACGGATCGAAAGGCAAGCCACCACCCTTTTGACTGCTCCTCTCCTCAACCCTCGTGCTCCCCTTAGCGATGTGAGCAGCAACAGCCTGTACAGGCGCACCCGTTGACCTTCCCCTCTTCCCTGTCTTCCTGTTCCCCTGGCCTCCTCCTTTCCATACTCCGCTTAGCGATGTGAGCAGCAACAGCCTGTACAGGCGCACCCGTTGACCTTCCCCTCTTCCCTGTCTTCCTGTTCCCCTGGCCTCCTCCTTTCCATACTCCGCTTAGCGATGTGAGCGGCAACAGCCTGTACGGGCGCATCAACCGCAATTTCAAGAGCATGGTGGCTGACGGGGAAGCGCTCATCAACTTGGCTCACAACTTCTTCTTTGGAGATGCCGTGCTCCTCGCTGCCGGCTGCCAGGTCTGCCCCGCCGAGATCACCCAGCCCAACAACCTCGTCCTTTCGGACCTCAGCAGTGGCAGGGGAGCAGGGAAGTGTGTCGATGGCATATCCGGCACTCGAGATTACTCGGTGGCGGGGGAAGGCAAGGCTGCGAGGGTGAGTGTGGCGGGCAACTGCCTGGCGCTCAGCCCGGACGCGGAGTGCGCAGCCAACGCCACCCAGCGCAGCACGGCAGCCTGCCAGGCGTTCTGCAGCATCACGGACAACGGCCCGTGTGACGGCCATGGGGAGTGTGTGCCGCCTGCCCCCACCTCCCCCTCCAACTTCACCTGCCTCTGCCGTCCCGGCTACTCTGCCCTCGACTCGGGCAATGGCTCCACCTGCGCTGTTGTGAAAGCCGGCTCTAGTGGTAAGAGCACAACTCCTCCACTACACCCCACTCCAACACGGATCTATAGCTAGTAGCTACTCCAATCAGAGGCTTTTCTATTTATACTGCAACCATGGCTTTACATCTCCACATGTGCCATTGCTAACTGCTTGCAGCCAGACTACTTACTGTAACCCTTGCTCTCACCTCCTCCGCTCTCTCCTTCCCCCTCGTTGCTCAACCACCCCTCGGCAGTGTCCTCGCTCTCCACGGGCGCCATGGTGGGCATTGCTGTGGGCTGCTTTGCTGGCTTCGTTCTGCTGGCTGCTGTGCTCTCATGCCTGCTGTGGCCCCGTGGACCAAGTGAGACCCCCGCCTTAACGTCTATTCCTAGGCTGTGCCTATATGTGCAGACTATTACCTCACCACTCACCTTCGATTCCTGCAGCTGCAGCTCGGACTTTCACCAATCGCCTTTCTTTTCACTCTTTTGAGTACATGCAGGGAAGTGGGAGGGGCTGGACGTGTGTGAGCAGTACACGCTGCAGCAGATGGTGAAGGCCACAGACAACTGGGCCAAGGGCAACGTGCTGGGCAAGGGAGCATTTGGCATCGTGTACAAGGGGTGCTCGCCACAGGGGCAGACATGGGCCATCAAGCGCTCCACTGTGATGACCAACGACTTTGAAATGGAGGTAAGGGGGCCCTTCACCACGTCTCACTGCCGTTACATGTCAGCAAAGCAGCCCAATTCTGCTCTCTCGCTTTCTGTGTTCCGTTCTTGCCCGTGCCCTTACCAGCTGCTGATTCCGTCGTCTAGGTTAAGCGAAAGCTGATTTCTAGCCGTAGCGTGTCACTGAGGATAACACGCAGATGTGTTGTCTGGAAACGGAAAGCACTTGGCAGCTTTGTTCTGAATGCGTCACCTGCAGGTGCGGGCCATGGCGTCTCTCCACCATGTGAATCTGGTGCGGCTGCTGGGCTTCTGCCAGGATCTGAACGTGGAGACGGGCAATCAGGAGCAGATCCTGGTGTACGAGTTTGTGGCTAACGGAGACTTGCAGCACCACATTTACAGGAGCGAGAGTGAGTCGCAGTATGTGCGTCACAAGGCAGCTGAGCAACTTCCGTAGTGGTGTGCCCACTGTCCACCCAGCTGTCAAAGAGTTTTGCTCTGTGAGCAAAGACTCTGTGGTGACAGCTTAGTGTCTCCTTGTTCATCTCATGCTCCTCCCTTCCAGACCCTGTCACACTCCCCCAGTGACAGTGCCTGGTGAAAGGAGCAGCGGAAAACCTCGCGTACTTGCATGGGTTCAAAGTGCCCATCATCCGCAACACCCTATGTGCACCCATTTCTGTGATTATCATCTCTTCCAGACCCTCTTTCGCTGGGGGACCGACTGCGAATCGCGCAAGGAGCCGCGGAGGGGCTGGCATACCTGCATGGGTTTGCGACGCCCATCATTCACCGCGACATCAAGCCCGCCAACATCCTCGTGACGGCCGACATGCAAGCCAAGGTGGCTGACTTTGGGCTGCTCAAGCGGATCACTCACGGGGAGGATAATCAGACCAGGGTGGCCGGCACTCCCGGCTATGTGGACCCTGAGTACAACCGCACACGCGTGGTTACCACCAAGAGCGATGTCTTCAGGTAGGGTTGGTTCTGGGGTAAAACGTGCCCTGTTGTCATTCGCACGATTTCAATCTGATTGTTATCTTTCGCATCAGCCGTATGCATCAAGGCTGTTTTGCTGCTTGAACTTACCCACAACTACTCTCTTGCTTGCAGCTTTGGCATTGTGCTTCTGGCACTGGTGACTGGCAGGCCCCCTCGGGTTGAAGAGACACACATACGAACATGGGTACGTAAAACAGATGGGCAATATTGTGCAGAACACTCAGGCAATATAGTGCAAATCACATCGGCAATATAGTGCAAATCACATCGGCAATATAGTGCAAATCACATCGGCAATATTGTGCAAATTGTGTGGTCTGATTCCTTCTTGTACTAGCGTTACCTTGTTCTCATTCCCCCTTTCTGCTGCGTTGACTCATTCCAGGCAACCAAGATGGTGGAGGACTATCAGGTGATTGGCATGAAGGATAGCAAGCTAGACGCAACTGAAGAGGCCGTTCTTGCCATTGTAGACCTCGCTCTCGACTGCATCAAATCGCCAGGTGCTCGCAGGCCTGACATGAAGGACATTGCATACCGCCTCACAGCGCTCATTGATAAGTACTGCTCGGACAAGCAGTCAGAAGTAGAGGAAGTAACGGGTAAAGCAGTAGATGAGATTCCCTCCGACTCTTCTGCAGGGACTGGCACAATCTCACAGACTTCCACCATGAGTCTTGGATCTTTTATGAATGGCATGGGTAGCTGGCTGGAGAAGGGGCCAAGCTGATGGACTTTGCACAAACGTCAATTCACCACATGCTAGCTGCCGATCCCCAAGAATAGATGCTCCTTTAAACATGTAGTTGAGTTTTCCTCTTTTAGGGGGTTTAATTTATGTGCCATGTGTCTTCTGAGGAGGGATCCAAGTTTGTCTAGCTGCTAATATGATGCAGTTGGAAGTGTGATAGTTGCAAGGCTAGGTGCATATGACCATCTGTCAATCATACATTAGATGCTGGGGTTTCCCAGTCATGTTTATAGCACCCCCGATTCATTGATATGTGGTGGTAAGGATGTGTCGAGTGTGTACAACAGGTACCATATGGCCCCGGATAGTAGCGCATATGAGCTTACTGTACAATAAAATCGATTTTTTTAGGGGCTGACATGTAATTGAGTCTTGGGCATAAGCACATGCGCTTACGTAATGACAAATACCGAGTTATATGTTTATAGCATCAAAGTGAGCATCTCATTCCTTCCAATCAATCGAGTCGATGTTTTATAGCGTCAGGAATGAGAATCGCGCGCAAGCGATTCTCTGCCAACACACAGGGGCAATGACATGCCCGCCCCTATGCCAATACATTCTGTTCTGGCTGGACGCGCAGCTTGTATTCTTCGAGAGTCAACCGAACCCAAAAGGAATGTGTGCTACTAGCTTTAAAATCGGAATAAAATAAAATAAAATTATGCATACGCTTATAACAAATAATGGATTTCTAGGGGGTGCGCTTATAATCGAGTACCGGCCCTAAGCGCCATGCTCCAGGTATAAGCGCCGACGCTTTTAATAGGACGGCGCTTATCCGAGGCCATACGATATGGACCTGCCCTATTTGCTCAGCCCCCACTATCCGCCCTCCGTCCCTTGCAAAGTGTGGGAGGGCGTTTGGGTACAAGGTGGACCTCACCCATCACCTACGCACACACTCCCATTCCCACATTGCTTCCCTCCTCAATGCCCTCTGTCCTCACCCTTCCCCCGCTTCCTCCCGTGCAGCTTTACGGAGTGTGAGAGGGCGTTTGGGTAGAAGGTGAACCTCATACGCCACCTGTGCACACACTACGGCCAGCCAGCGCGGCAGCAGCAACACACACGGGCAAGCCCTCCCTAGCAGTTGCAAGAGAATATGCAGTTCAGCCCTGCCTGCGCAATGCATACACCCCAGAGGACGGCTTAAAGTGCCTCACACACCACCTGCGCACACAATAAGGGCAGCCAGCGTAGTAGCACCAGCACACGTAGTCAAGCCCTGGCTGCGTGATTCACACGCCTCGCACCAGCGCCTCACACGTCACCTGCACACACATTACGACCAGCTCGTGTGGTAGCACACTACAATTTCATGTATTGTTATCAGGCACCGAAATGGTACCATTAGTACCTTGAGGGCGGGCATACGATATGCAAGATCAAGCTGTGTGCAGAGCTGCTGATAATCACAAGGTGGGAGCGCCTTCGTGAAGATATCATCAGTGTTGTGTTGGACTATGAGGACAAGTAAACTATGCATGCCTGGCTGCACTACTGCAGCTCACGCAGCAAGAAATACTAGAGTTGGATATGATTCGCTCTGCCCTCTAGTCTAGGCTCCTTGAAACAAAGGGATCATGGCCTTCTTATCAGTGAACAGATCCGGGGTAGAGCTAGGCAGCTCACACAAGCCAATAAGGAAGAACATCAACCAGTGGAACTCCTAAGAAACCATAGCACCAACAGCATAGATCTATGCCTCACAGCAAGACAGTGCCACCGACGACGAGCGAATGGGCCTCCACAAGACAGATTTCAGCGCCATGATTGAATAGTAGCCGTAAGAGGACCGGAGTCTCTCGATGTTGTGTGCTTATGAAGCGTTAGTTTGTCTCGTGAGTGCAACTCGCTGTCGCCCACCAAGCACAAGCCCCATGCGTGATGTGCTAGCCAGATAGTGCAATACCTTCTTAGAAACCGGCCAGTGTTCAGGTCGGTGTCTCCCAGTCGCAACAAAACGAGCAAGGATGGCAAGAGAATGTGCGAGATATGGGAGAGTGCAAGTCATCAGGTACATTAGGCATCCCTCCAGCTTTGCATATTGACCACTGGGTTCAAATTACTTATCAAGAATAGGGGCTGAGAGCGTATGGCAACAGGAGAACAAGAGAATCAGAAGCCGAAGCACTGAGGATTTGCTGCACCATGTGTGGTTGAGTCAAAGCGATGGTGCGCACTGCTTTGACCCTGGTGATATGTATGCCAAGATAGCGGCACAACTCACCTAGGTCAGTGGAAGCGTGTCTTCTCAACGACTCGTCCTTTACGGAGGCCAGTGCGACCCTGTCTGGAGTAACAAATACCACGTCAAAGACGTAGAAGAGGATGTGAAATGGAATCGAGCCAAAGCAAACAAAGATAGACAGACCAGCAGAGGGCGGGTGTGGCAGTACATTGCCTGTTATGTCCTCTTTTCTCCTAATCGAATTTTTTATTTCTATTTTTTCACACTAGTTTCCCTGTTTGTCTACTTTAATATTTCATATTTTGGTATTATGCACTGAATTTGTTATGTGACATTGCGCGCGCGTGACTTTATTGAACCTGGAAGGCTCTATTTTCGCTAATTATAGAGCATCGGTACATTCTAGAAACATTATGGATACCTTTTTTGTATTGTGCCAATATAAAGTATCGTGGTTGTACCCAGGATTCAAAAATTACATTCGAAGTGAAGTCTCGGTCCTCTCACACTTGGTACTCATAGCTTATTTACACTTCCCAATTTTATTTCGTTGGTTCACACTCCCAAAAACCGGCAGGGGTGACAGCACCGCGCTTCGGTTTTAAATTCCCCTTGCATGATTCCCGAATAGGCATGCCGACGTGAATGGAGGAGGCTGGCGACTATTTCGTGCAAACATTCGTGCACTTGCGCGCCAAGGAGGAGCAGACTCGCAACGAGCCCTACCGATTGGCAACACTGTTTGTGAATTGTTTGCAGCCATAGCGAGTGTACCTGCGACGATAGCGACACCCACGAAACCGAGGCTACCATAGGCAACAGTGGCCATGACTATAACGTTTTTGGGCCCCTGAAACCGAGGCTACCAGAAGCAGCGACGTCCATCGATTCATCGCTACACTCGAGATCTACTTCGCAGCTATTGGATGCACGACCCAAGAACAGGCTATGACACGGGTACAACTCGCATCTACACTGATGTGAACAACGACACTAGAATGGATTTTTGCAGACAGTGCTTTCGTCAAAGGTGAAGGGCCGTGGGAGCAATTTTAGACTGACTCAATTCATCATTTCGAACCTCTAAATAGCACATATATGAATTAGGAGAATATTTATCGACATTCACAGTATACGAGTGTGATGCAGTGTATGAGAAGAAGTGAACGAGAATGAATGAACTATGAATGAAGTGAGTACAAATATGAAACCCTAATTGGGTTGTACCTCCTATGGGATACCCCACTATAGCCTACACAAATAAGTAAGCTATGATGTTCTGACACACCCCCATAGGCAAAGTGGGGGAGAACAAGGGGTCACAAGACCAGTCAAGCAAAGCAAAGCAAAGCTCAGGGTGGATCACAAAGTCACCACACATTCCGAGCACAAGTTCAAGGGCCACAAGGCCAGTTCACATGCAAGATCATATATAGAGATATAAAAGAGTCAAGCAAGCAAGAGCAAGAGTATATATAGGTCAAGGTACAAGCAAGGTCAAGAAGTGAGCAAGTGAGGCAAGACAGGCACAAGACCTAGCTGCGTGCAGCAACGCTGATGATCACAAGGCGCAAGTGCCTTGGTGAAGACATCAGCAGTGTTGGCCTCAGAGGCCACGTACGCAAGTCGCAACTGTCCACGCTGCTGTAGCTCACGAGCAAGAAAGTAGCGGAGAGCAATGTGCTTTGTTCTGTGCTCCAGTCGCTGCTCTCGACACAAGGCCAGCATGGCCTTGTTGTCTACGTACAGGACTGGAGGAGAACGAGGCGGCTCTCCAAGGTCGGTCAGCAGGTAGGTGAGCCAGCGAAGCTCCTGAGCAGCCATAGCCCCGGCGTAGATCTCAGCCTCACAACTGGAGTCGAGAACAGAAGACGAGCGAGTAGCCCGCCATGAAACAGAGCCGGAACCAAGGCCAAAGGTGTAACCCTGTGACGACCGCTGCGTAGCCTGGTCGTCAGCCCAAGAAGCGTCCGCGTGCCCAGTGAGGACCACTGGACTCCGCCCTCCAAGCACTAGCCCCATGCCCGACGTACTGCACAAGTAGCGCAACACCCTCTTCGCTGCAGCCATGTGCTCTAGTCGGTGTCTCCCAGGAGCAACATAGCGTGCGAGAATGCTGAGAGGGTATGCAAGGTCAGGTCGTGTGCAGGTCATCAGGTACATGAGGCAGCCAACAAGCTCTGCATACGGGCCACTCGACTCTACGAATTCATTCGAAGGCAGAGCTGAGAGCGAGTGGCGAGTAGGCAGAGGAGTGGCCTGAGGTGAGGAGTACGTGAAGCCGAAGCGCTGAAGGACCTGCTGCACCATGTGTGACTGAGTCAGGGTAATGGTACGGCGTGCTCCGTCCCGGGTGATCTGCAAGCCAAGGTAGCTGCGCAGTTCACCCAGGTCAGTGCACGTGTGTCTCTTCTACAGCTCGGACTTCACGTAGGCGAGTCCAGCAGTGTCAGCTGTGGCAAAGACCAAGTCGTCGACGTACACGAGGATGTAGAACGGCGGCAGAGAGGTGTCGGTGCGCAAAAACAGCGACGGGTCGGCAGTAGAAGGAGCAAACCCAAGTGCCGCAAGCGTAGTCCTCAGTGTGTCGTGCCACTCACGTGGCGCCTGGCAGAGACCGTAAACTGGACGCCGGAGACTCCACTGGGTACCAGGAGGGAAAGACCCATAGAAGCCAGGTGGGCGACGCAGCCAGATCTCCTCGTGCAAGCTGCCCTGCAAGAAAGCAGTGCTGAAGTCGAGAGAGTGCAGCTCATAGTCACGGTGAGCAGCAACGTGCAGCACT